GAGGAGGAGGGAGGTGGTGGTGGCACGGTGGTATGAGACATGATGTCTGTGCTCTGGATATGGCATGCTGCTAGATGCTACATGCAAGAAGAAAGTCGGCCCGCCTGCCGGGGGGGGCCGAAGAAGCAGGGCTGAGTGCGCCCCGCCCTGACGAAAGCTGCCTGTGTTCGGCAGCGGCAGCTCGCTTGGCCTCCCTCCGGAACCAGGCCACCCTCCAGTCTATACGGGCGGGGGGCACGGCTGAGAGGCAAGGGAAAAGGGGGGAGCGTCTGCGGAGTCCCTCGCAGGTCTGCAACTTCACTCTCAGAGCTCAGGTCCCTAGGAAAAAGGGGAGGAGAGGCCTCAGAAGCAGGAGTAGGAGCCGGGTCGGGAGCTGTCGTCGGATCCTCCTCGCGCTGCTCTTGTCTGGACCGGAACCCGAGCATTTCTGGATCAATCCGTTGTCTCTGAGGTTCCTGAGGCGTGACTGTAACGTCCTCTCCTATTTCCTTGCAAAATAATTCCAAGAGATCCTCGACCTGAGATGTGTCGGTGTCCTCCGCATTCACGTCACAATCTGTTGGTGAGGCAAACTGGGACTGGATCGTGTCAACGATGACTGTGATAGTATGCCTGCCCATGGTTGTAGCGGCTCTCTGCCGTCTATTGCAGCAGCGGCCATGAGCACCTGAACAGGGTATGTAGGGCGCTGCTGTGGGCATGCGGAACCCGCGGAGCCTATTGGGGCCTTACCGATGGTCTCTGGGCCGCAGTCGTTATGTGTGTGTGTGTGTGTTGGTCAAAATTGGCTGTGTATCTGGAAATGTCGACACCGCGCATTATCACTTCATATTGTGTAAGCGTGTATTGTCCGTCCCTCCATGCCTGGATATCCCCATGCCGCCGTTGTCCAGATAGAGCTTCCTGTGTAGGTCCACAGAAGGCTCCAATAGTGAGTGGTACCTCTCTGGCCTCTTTATTCGCAGGTTGCGAGGCGACTAGTATATCGGCGGAGTATGAGCCGTCAGGCGGTATGTCCACTTTTGCAGGGTAGGCGCTCCTCCAGCGCCATAGCGTTGCATTGACTTTCTGCTGCTTGAGCTCCTCAGCTCTGCCGGTGCTGTGCACCGTGCCTTGCAAAAAATAGGCGAGACAACACGCAAGATGATTGCGCAGTACCCGCCTGATGAAGAAGGATGTGGAGCAAAACCTGCAAAGGCATCCCTCTCCCCTGATTCTTGACACAATGTCCACAGAGCTGCATTGTGTGCTTATGTTGTGCCGCTGTAGTCCCTTGACAGTGGTCGTAGCTGGAGTAGGGAGAAGGGGATGAGTCGGATCTGCAATTGGTACGGGTACCCCTGCTGCCCGTACCGTCTCGAAAAAATAGCCTGAGGCTTTCCGCACTCGGGCAGCTCTTGCCTGGGCCGTTGCCTCTGATCTCATGGCAGCGATCTTCATGTGCCTCCATTCTGAACTATAGCGCAAAATGCGCTGTTCCCTCCTGGTACCGTCGTCCTTCGGACTAGGTGTGTTACTCGTCCTGTCGTGTATTGTGCTTATCCCGTCCATGTCTTCTAATGTACGATGCAACCATGATGTCCCATTGCGCTCGTGTTTCATACTGAACACATGTGCCACACGACCGTGTAGAGTGTGAGTACGTAATTGCATGGTACCTCCAAGTAGTCGGAACCTGCAAATCCTCAGAGCCATGGTAGGCGTGGCACTCTGTGCGCGCGCAAGCACGTACATGTCGCTTCCCGTATGTTCCGCACTGTGCCGACTGCGCAAAGCCCGTCGGTATTCGTTGCTCTTCACATGCTAAGGGTGCGCGTGCTGTGCTGCTGATAGCTGTGGCCGCGCCCCTGCTTTGAGGGTGTAGTCGTATCTGGTATGTAGCCACCTCGGCGCAGCTGCACAACGAACCTGCCATGCAAAAAAGAGCGCATGCAAGCTTGCCTGGTCGACTCCGTGCGGTAGCTTCCGTCGGAGCCTGAGAAAGAGGGCTCTCCCCTCTTGCAACTCCAGTGTGCCTAAGTTTATACAGTACTGTCGTGGTCTTTTGCCGGTTGGTGTATTGTGTATCTGATGTGCCTTTTCCATCACCATTCTGAGGTGGTCGTCACATTCCTTAGAATGGTTGGCTGTATGCATCCCAGGCTCGGGTTGTCGGAACTGCGAGAGCAGGTAGTTGAATCGCTGTAGTGTCACATTGTCGTCATACTGCGCTGGGCTGTACTGAGAGCTTGGCGCTGCAATACGGCAAGAGGGTGCATATTCCCTTTCTGCATTGACCCCGTGCGAGCTTCCCTCTCCACCCATCTGTAGAGCTGCAGCGTGTAGCACAATGTGACTTTCCATGTGTGTGTCCCCAGTTTTGTGCCTGTTAGTCCCGACCGTGCACACAAGCAGGCAAGGATGTTTCCTATCGGGCACTTTGTTGGGCCTAGGGGCGATCCGTTGGAGGTCCGTGTGGGGCTCTTTGGCGATGTGTATGGTATGGTCGGCCGTCGGAAGTAGCGAGCTGCAAGCTGCTGGTGAGACGTAACTCGGCCGAAGCCTCGGCATGACCTTCCAATGGGATCCTTTTTCTACCGGCGTGCGACACTGTGACTCAAAAGAGGTGAGAAGCATTGTTATGGCAAACAACTTGGCAAGTGTGTCAACAGATTCGCTCCAAGAATTCGCAACATGACCATGAGCATGCTGTAAGGAACGCGTTTTAGCATGTGCACGTAAACATTGAGTTAAGCTGTCGAGTAGAATCTTGGTAGTACTGAGCGCTCCTCCGACATGTCTTCCCTGATATGCTCTGTGAACGGCCATGTCATCACTGCGAACGCAGGTAGGCAGAGAGCTGTGCTGTGATTGGGTGACCCATGCCATGTTCCCAATGGCTGCTTCCAACTCTGTCCTCTGAGAAGTGAGTGAGTCGTTTGCTTCCCCTTCGGGGGGCGGATCTGCAAAGTAGCCGAGCAAAATGACACCGAATACCGAAATAGCCATGATGCGCAGCGCCCAAGTTGGCCCGCGCACTTGTCCGTTGTGTCGGTACCCAGCCGCTGTCGGACCTGTGCGGATTCCCCGTCGGGCATACCTCAAGTTGGGATCGTACTTGATGAGACCTGGAAGGGCCTGGGTAGATGCGGGGCGCCAGTAGGGGGCCCACGAAGGAGAGTCCCTAGCAGTATGAACAGGCGACCTGTGTTCCATGAGCCCTTGAGTAGGTCGGTTATCGGGGATGGGCGACCTCGGGGATCCTCTGGTGTTCCCCTTAGGAGCCTGCGTAGTATCATTAATGTGGTATTCGAGGAGTCCATGCTCAAGTGATGAGCGGTCCGCTGTTGTGTTATCTGGAGTCGGATTTTGTACACTGGCTGGCTGCTGAGAGGGGGCTAAACGGGGGACCTGAGCGAGCCTGCCAGAATATTCTGCTGAGCGCCAAACGCGCTCAGCTGGTGTTAGTGCTGTGCGGGCAGATTGGCTGCCACGCGAAAAACTGTCTGCTGGCCTGCTGGGTTGCTGGCTCCGCTCAACGCTGCCATGCCTGGCTCGTCTTCTCCCGCCTCCATCTCATGCGGTTCATCCCGTCGTATATGCTTGGAGTCCCTGGCCGTCTCTTTATTGATCTTGACGTGCTTGGGTGGTGCTTGGCCCGTGGAGCGCCTGGGCGAGGTAGCTCTGGGTCCTTCTGCTTCGGCTGCTTGGGCAAACGTACTCTCCAGCCGTCTCCGTCCTTCTGTGCCCACGTCGGGAGTAGTTGACTTGAGCTTGTCCTTATCCGTTCTTGGCGTAGGCGTAGGAGATGTCGACGATGCCTTTGGTTGTAGTGCCTGAATTTGTCGCTGAAGTTCTTCTCTGGTATTATTTCTGTTGACGCTGACGTCTGTGAGCTGCTTCTGTGTGGTATTCATGGCCGTCTTGAACTCTATGAGTTGCGCCATGAGGGCATGCTGCGAATGTTGCATACTCGCTAGTAGCCCTGGGGTGGAGAATTCCGCTTTCGAATCCGCTGAGCCCGAGCACGGTGTAGCTCCAGGCGGAGTTCGTGTGGTAGGCGTACTTGGCGATCGTGTGCCCGCTGGTGTGCTCGGAGAGCGCGCGGCAGCCGGCCACTGCGTACGCGACCGAGGAGCTTCTCCTGCTGGCGCAAGAGGGCCTCCGTCGGAATCCTCCTCTTCATTTGTATCTTCATCCATGTAGTCTGCTGCGCTTGGCCTGCGAGTGCGTGACGTACGTGTGCGCACCTCTGCCTGCTTGCGCTCGTTGTCCTCCTTCTCCTCGTCTTCCAGGTCCTTGAAATGTTCGAGAAGGTCTTCAGCGTGTGCTACTTTTTCGTGTAGTTCATGAACTTGAGCAACACAGGAGTCGAGATGAATCTGCGCCTCTACTTGCTTCTGTGTGGCTCCGTCAGCCTGCGCTTTGCTCGATTGACAAAGTTGAGCGGCTTGGCTGTGCGGGCAGAGGCCGTGCGAGAGTACAAGAGCTGATATAATACAACCGCGTACTCATGTCGTAGGCCTTGCACTTGTGATGCGTCCATCTTGAGCTCCTGTGAACATTTGATCTGACGTTCTAGGCCCTGTAATGTAGAGCCTAGGGCCTTTCTGTACTCACCAATCTCCTGAGGGTTCTAAGGTGGCTCCTGCCAGCGCCTGTGTGCGCGGGCTTCCTCTGGCGAGCAAGGCATGATATTCATGTTCTCGTCCTCCTCCATGCTGTTGCTTTACGCTGGGCGTCGCGAGCTGGAGCGCCTCCACGGGGGGGAGGATGTAGGTTGGTCAGCATCTGGCTTGGCTGCTGGCTGGTTCGGATGGCACTTCTCACATTTCGTGATCTCCCACTTGTTGTGATGATTGCATGCCGGGCGCTCCCACAAGTGCTGGTACTGTCCTTGTATGTGACCTTGCCATTGTGATCTTCGTCTTGATGGCTGTCTCGAGCGCGCTGACTTGCTGCGCTGTGTCCTCCACGTCATACTGCAATGCTGTGTGGCGATTCAGCCCTGGCTCGACGGTGCCAGACTGGTACACCTCCTGCTTCACGGCTGGCCCTCCTGTTGCGCGCCGTGGCGGCTGGGCGCGCTGGGGGGGGGCTGGCGCGTGTCGCAGCTGTCCCGTGCGAGCGGTTTCGCCGTGCCTGGCACAGCTCCCACAAACCACTCGGGCCGGGACGGCGGCTGGAGGAGGGAGGAGGGAGGAGGGAGGAGGGAGGACGGAGCGAGGAGGGAGGAGGGAGAGGAGGGAGGAGGAGGGAGGAGGGAGGAGGGAGAGGGGAGGAGGATGGAGGGAGGAGGGAGGAGGGAGGAGGGAGGAGGGAGGGAGGGAGGAGGCAGAGAGGGAGGAGGGAGGAGGTGAGGAGGAGGAGGGAGGAAGGAGGAGGGAGGAGGGGTGGAGGGAGGGGGAGGTGGGAGGAGGAGGAGGAGGGAAGAGGAGGAGGAGGTGGAGGAGGAGGAGGAGGAGGCGGGGAGGGGGGGTGGTAGATCTTTCCTTAGGAGGGAGGAGGAGGAGGAGGAGGAGGAGGCAGGTGGGGAGGGGAGGAGGCGCGTGGAGGAGGAGGAGGAGGAGGTGGAGGAGGACGGTGGTGGAGGAGGAGGAGGAGGAACCCCGAGGGGGGTCGCACCCGCGAGGGGGGTCGCAGCCCCGAGGGGGGTCGCACCCGCGAGTGGGGTCGCGCCCCCGAGGGGAGTCGCATCCGCGAGGGGGGTCGCACCCGCGAGGGGGGTCGCAGCCCCGAGGGGGGTCCTGGGGTCCTTGGGTCCCTGGGGTCCCGGGGGTCCTTGGGTCCTGGGGTCCCGGGGTCCCGGGGGTCTAGGGGGGTCCTGGGGTCCTGGGGGTCATCGGGGTCGTGGGAATCTTCGGGAGGTTCTGGGGTCATCGGGGTCCAGGAGTCCTGGGGGTCATCGGGGTCCTGGGGTCCGGACCGGAGGGGACAGGGGTTCGGTTCGGTTCCCGCCGGTTCGGTTCAGGGGCGGCCCGGTTCCGGTTCGGTTCCGGTTCTGGTTCGGTTCGGTTCTCGCCGGTTCGGTTCTGAATGAATTCGGTTCGGTCCGGTTCGGTTTTCTACGTTCCTGGTTTTGGACCGGTTCGGTCCGGTTCGGTCACGGTTCTCGGTTCTCGGCTCGGTGCGGTCCCTTCATGCAGATGTTACCAGCCCATGGAAACCCCATCTAGGATTACGAGGAGCCCTCCAGACAGAGGTGCTCAGCAAGACCAGCACGTATCCAGTGGAGGCCCCAGATATCAGCAGACCAGGGGCCGCACCCAGGCCCTGGGAGGAGCTTCGCATCCAGGCCCTCGACAAGCACCCCGAGGCCCCCGCAGTTCAGCATCCCGCTGCCGAGGCCCATGTCAGCAAGGCCCTGACGCACCGTTTCGCCGTCCTTTCGCAGGCCCCCGAGTGGTGGTGTGCAGTACCTGATGACCCAGAAGGCCCAGACGGGCCTAGTCGGGCCCAGCCTTTCAGGAGGGAGGAAAGGGGCGCCTTTCCCCCCAACCCTCCTGGGCCTCGCGGAGGGCCAGATAGTCGCCGTTGGAGCACCATCCAGCAACGGGTCCGTGAACGAGACCTTGCCCGTAGACGAGGTCCCCATGGCCCCAATCATCGCAGGTTCCAGCGGGTTATCGAGAAGAGCTTGAACGATTTAGACTGGAACTCCGACCTCTTCCCAGGCCGAACAAAACAGTTTTTGGGGCAGCCTCAGTGTACGATCAGGCCAACCCTTCGAGCACCATGGCCTGTTAGAGCAGCAGGTCCAGTTTTTCGAGCGGCAGGCGTTGCAGAATGCCCAGCGTGGTTTCGCCGACTGGCTGGAGACCAGCCTCAAGCAAGGGGGGGGGGGGGGGGGGCCGCCCGTGCTTTCACGAGGGAGGTGGAGGTGGAGGTTACCACGGAGGAGGCAGACAATTTCATCCTGGAGGAGGAGGTTTTAACAGACCCCGTGGACATCCTCAAAGCCAAAAGTGAGTTTTGGAAACAATACTGGGGCCCAGGATGTATTTGGGGCACCATGCCGATCTCAGAACCCTGGGTCCAGGACCTTCGGCAGGAAACCATGGAGGAGAAGAGCACGGAGGAGCCTTGGGCGGAGGAGGAGGTTTTCCGCGCAGTCAAGACCTCCCCGCCGCACCCAGCCACGGGCTCGGACCAGTGGAGAGTGCGCGATTTCCTCAGGCCCCCGCAGCCAGGCCGAGCCGAACTAGTCGGGGTGTGCCAGCCCAGTGCCTAGGGAACCTTGTTGCGCTCAAGCCGAAGTCAGTGACGGCGGACAGGCCGATCACCCTCGCCACATCCCTCTACCGCCTGCCCATGCGCCCCAGGAGGGGGGAGATCAGCAAGTGGGAGGTGGAGAAGGCAAGACATTGGGATGCAGCAGTCAAAGGGTCCAGCTGCCTGCGAGCAGGGATCCGGTCATAACTTTTTGCCGAGATCGGGACAGAGCTCCAGATCAAGATCGCCGAAGGGCTTTTGGACATAGAGAAGTTCTATGACGCCATCCACGCCCCCACCCTAGCCAGGAAAGCAAAGGCAATGGGGTACCTCGTGATCTGCCTCAGCCTCGGAATGATGACCCACCTGGCAGTTCGTTTCCTCGCTACCGAAATGGGGGTCAGCGATCCAATCATTCCTCAGCGCAGTATCCTAGCGGGGTGTGGACAGAGTGTCGCCTGGGCGAGGGTCCTGCTGCGTGACCTCCTGCGCCACGCGCACCACCGCTTCCCGCTCTTTTTTCTATCCGTACATGGGTCGATGATCTACGCGCGCGCATGGCGGGCTCCAGCAGGTCCCTCATCGAGGATTTCCCCGAGGCCATGAAGTTCCTCAAAGCTGGGCTGGCAGATCTTGGGTGCAGGCTCTCCCCCAAATCCACCATCCTCGGGCGCGACAGCGAAGTCAGACATCAGCTTCTCCAACACTGTCAGGGAAAAAGGCGTTCCCCAACAGACCAAGTTGGGCACCAGGGACCTCGGCTTGGACACGACCACGGGACAAAGAAGGCCCCTCAAGGTTCGAGGAGCTCGGCAGCGTTTGGGGTTCAAGAGGCACCAGAACATCAAGAGGCTCCCCAGGGCCACCAAGAACGTCCATCGGCTATACCGTGCAAGCGCCCAACCACAGCTTCATTGGGGCCTCGTAGGTCATGGCGTTGCCCCTGCCGAGCCCACCCGTCACAGGAGGGCGGCGGGGGCAGCGCTAGGCGTCAGCAAGTCAGGGAGCTGCCTCGCAGCAGGGCTCCACCAAGCTAAGCTGCCGCCCGACGCCATCGACCCCGCTATCTTTTGGCGGCTCCGTCTGTTCGAGACATGGTTCGAGCTGGTTGCGGCGGAGCCCCGCCTCAGGAGCGGCATCGCAGCAGCCTGGCCGAAAGTCGTTACGAAGCTCCAGCGGCCCAGGCGGTGGAATAATGTAGTCAGCCATCTCAGCGCAATCGTCGGAACCCTCCTGGACCTAGGGTGGAGCCCAGTCACAGCGTGGACCTGGACAGGACCCACAGGTGAAATCTTCCCAGTCGGCCCGGAGAAGTACGAGGAGCAGGATAACTTTCTGCGCAGGCTTCAGCAGTGCCTTCATCACAAGGTATGGGGAGGAGCTCAGGGAGGACATGCAGCGGGAGGACGCCAGGGAGGAGTAGGCATCAAGAGCTCGCGCTGGCAGGTCGAACGCCTCCACCGAGATGGCCAAGCCAACCTCGCAAAGGCACTCAAGGCAGTCGGCAGTGTTGCCGCCTGGAGCCCACGGCGACGTTGCGAGGCAGGCGTCGCAGAGGAGGCCACCTGCCCGCTGTGTGGCGACCACCATTGCGACGGGCGGCGCAAGTTCTGGGGGTGCCCCCTCCTCGAGCAAGTCGACCACCCCCTCATTGCAGCCGCGCAAGACCTCCGAGACCTCGCCCAGGGGGGCAATCAACCCGAATGCCTTTGGCTCCGCGGACTGATCCCAACTGAGTTAGCCCTGAGAGAAGTAGAGGAGCTGACGCCTAGGCACCCCGTCCTGCATGAGACAGGCGCTTTCCTGGGCCCTCCAGAGGCGAGGGACGGCTGGCACCTCGGCTCCGTGGATGGCTCAGGGGGTGCTTTCTCGGCCGATCCCCGCCTCAGGCGAGCAGGATGGGGTGCAGGAGTGTGGAGTCCAGATGTGGTCTCCGTTGGCACTCTCCAAGGGAATCTCGTAGGGGCCCAGGCTGTAAATAGAGCCGAGCTCAAAGGGGCCATAGAGCTCCTCCGCCATCCCAAAGGAGACCTCTTGGTGGTTACAGACTCAGCGTACCTAATCAAGGGCCACTACAAAGGGCCCCGTAGGAGGCAGGCCACCAATAGGCGGCTCTGGTTCGAATATTGGCGCGTCTTGGGGGCCCGTGAGGGCCGTCTGAGCTACCTCAAGGTCAAGAGTCACGCGACCGACCCCGAGGTGCGCGCACGTTTTCCCGAATGGGCCCTGTATGTCAATGGCCAGGCAGATCGGCTCGCAAGCGAAGCCGCTGCCCAAGCTGCAGTGTCCGCTGACCTAGCGCAGAGAGTGTTGGCCCTCGACACCCTCAGCGAACAGATCAGAGGGCGATTGGCGGCGGTCCAAATGTTGTGGTGGACCCATTTTCCAGTAGCAGAAGATAGCACCGAATGCAAGAGAGCTCGCAGACGCGAGCGGAGCGAACGTGCCCTGCAGCATCTGCTCTCTCACACCCCCCACTGGCCCCGCGTCAGCGAGACGCAAGTTTCTTGCTTAAGATGTGGGAAGCAGACCCACAGGAGGTCATGCGCCAGGTGGTTCCGCACCCGGTGTCCTGGCTCAGCCAGTGGCACGACCCCAGGGAGTGGAGGCCCCAGTGGGGGAGTAGTGCCCAGTCTCGAATTGACGGAAGGCGACTGGCCCGCCCTCCATCCCAGCCACCGACCCCATCTCGCCCTCTGTCGCGGGGTTCTCTGGTGTCGGCGGTGCGGGTGTTGGCGGGTTCGGGCCCCCAAGAAGTTTCGTGCCCCCTGTGCCCCACCCAGCAACAGTCATAGTGGGGGTCACAAGGCGTTTTTGAAGCTCACCAAGGGGAAACTGCCACAAAGGGTTAAAGGCCTGGCCAGGAGCAGACCCGTGAGCACGCATAGTCCTCCTGGAGTGCAGGGATCGAACAGGCCGAGGCGGCGTGGAGAGGGGAGGGGAGGAGGAGGAGGAGGAGGAGGAGGAGGAGGAGGGGAGGGGAGGAGGAGGAGGAGGAGGAGGAGGAGGAGGAAGATGAGGAGAGAGGAGGGGGAGGGGGGGGAGGAGGAGGAGGAGGCGGAGGGCGGAGGAGGCGGAGGAGGAGGAGGAGGAGGAGGTGGAGGTGGAGGAGGGTGGTGGAGAGGAGGTGGAAGGTGGGGTGGAAGTGGAGGGGGGAGGAAGAGGAGGGAGGAGGAGGAGGAGGAGGAAAAGAGAGGAGGAGGAGGAGGAGGAGGAGGAGGAGGAGGAGGACAGAGAGAGCCGCCCTACACCTCTCCTCTCTTCCTCGATCGCTTGCGTTGCTTCCGTCGTTCGGCCGTCCTTTTTTTTTTCTTTTTTTTTCCTTCTCCTCTCTCTCTCTCTTTCCCTCTCTTGTTGTTTACGTTCCCGCTGGCACCGCCCGTCGGGAGCGGTGGAGGGCTTCGACCATTCGTTGTGCCACGGCTTGCGGCTTCGAGTATCGAGGCGGAAAAGGGGAGGTCGGAGGACGGAGGCAGGAGGACGCAGGGGGGAGGCACGGGGTGGTACGGGAGAGGAAAGGGGCGATGGGGATAGGGGAGGGAAAGCGAGAGGTGGACGAAAAGTATGAAGAGGTGATGGAGGGTGCGGGAGCCGATTGGGGGGGTGGATGGGGGAGCAGCAGGAACAGTGAGCAGGAGCAGGACGAGGAGGAGCTGCAGGAGGGGGGAGGAGGCGAAGGACGAGGAGGCCGAGGTGCGGGTGGGGATGGGGGTCGCGAAGAGGACGGCGTGGCGGAGGAGGTTGAAGAGGAGGAGGAAGTGCAGCAGCAGAAGCATGAAGAGGATGGAGGAGGTTGAGGAGGAGGAGGAGGAGGAGGAGGAGGAAGAGGAGGAGGAAGAGGAGGAGGAGGAGGAGAAGGAGGACAACACCGACGACGAGGACAGCGACGAACAGCAGCAGCAGCAGCAGGACGAGCAGGCGTTGCGAGCTCTTTTGCGTGGGAGCTGGAGAACGCGAGCGGGGCGCCCCCGCCCGCGTGATGCGCCGTCCACCCGCTCCGCGACACGCCAGCATGAGGCCGAAAATGCGCACTCGCTCCTCGCCCCGCCCCCCCTGCCGCCCCAGGGGTCGACCTAAGCGGTGTTTTGGAAATGCCGTGCGCCGTTTTCGTTGCGATGTCGTTTCGCAGCACAAGCGGGTGGAAGACATAACGAGGGGAAACGAAGACAGCACGAGCACGAAGCACACTGCTTAGGTCGATCCCTGCCCCCTCCTTTTTTCTCCCCTTCGCCTCCCCTCGCTCGTCCGTTCTCCTCCGTCCCCCTTCCCCTGCATTGTTTCCACAGTGGCAAGCTATGGGCACTGCTCTCCTCTCTCCCCTGACTCTGCACGGAAGATGCTCAACCCTCTCCGCGTATTGCTTTACATGCAGGAATTCCACATTTGATTCATCGTGTGTGCTTGTTTGCTTCGCTTCTGCTTTTTGTTGCTAGAAGACTGTCGTCGGAGTTTCAAAATGATGCTCCCGTTGCAGCGTGGACCTCATTTTCGGGTCGGCTCTTTGCTCCCGTCACTCAGACTGGCGCTTTCGCTCAGCACTGGCCGCTTTTCTGCATCCGAGTCCTTTTCATTTTTGTCGCCTCCCGGCATTCCCCTCGTCCGCCTTCCTCTTGTCCTCCTGCACCTCCCGCCCCTTCCACTCCAGGTCTTGCTTCTGCTCTTCGTCCTCGTCGTCGTCGTTGTCCTCCTCCTCCTCCTCCTCCTCCTCCTCCTCCTTCCTCATTCTCCTGCTCTCGCTCCTGCTCATCCTCCTGCTCATGGGCCACATCCTCCTCCTCCTTCTCTTCCTCCTCCTCCTCCGGTGTACGTAGCTCACGTATCCCGATTGCTCAGAACATGCTGGGATCGTTGGGATAGTTTTGGGTCCACTGTGACTCGCGTCCACGGCTGGAGAACAGATCAGCGCAGTGCTCAGGAATGGGAGGGAGGGGTTACAGTCGGGGCGCTGAAGAAGGAACCCTTTTCGTTGGGGAAGGGCTCGGTGTGCCTTGATTGTTTCAGAGTTTCCTCGGGTTTTCCCGAGGTTTTCCACAGGAAATCGATGCTGAACTTATGGGAAAAAGGGGCCTCGTTCCTTATTTAGGGTTCCTTAGGTCAACGCCTCGACTGTAGGACATCAGATAAATCGCGAGCGCACCCAGCTTGCCTTCACCTCCCTCTCCCCTCGTGGCTCTGGAGGGGCGGGGGGAGGGCGACGATGCCCTGTCGGGCTGGCTTCCCCTCACTGTCTTCCTTCTCGGCTTCGAGGTCGTCATCGTGACCGTAGTTTTCGTCGACTGATGGGGCCTCGGCATTGTCACCGTTGGCCTGGAGGAGGAGGAGGAGGAGGAGGAGGAGGAGGAGGAGGAGGAGGAGGCGGAGGAGGAGGAGGAGGAGGAGGACGGCATTGTCACCGTTCTGTCTGTTTTGGACCCTCCCTCCTCCCCTCGCCTCCACCCGCCCGCCCGTGCCCGGCTCGGGGGCGGCCAAGAGGGGGGTGATGACCAAGGGGGGGGACATCATGGCGTGGGCCATGATGCTTTCCCAGATTTCATAGCGCCTCCTCTAGTCTCATCATGTGCCTTCCCGGCACCCCCGCTGGGCCTCGCACATGCCGCCGGCCATGATCTGCGCCCCCCCTCTCGGACGCCCCCCTCTTTGCCGCCCCCGATGGCTTCCCGAGTGCAGGCGGCAGCGCTGCGTGCTGCTCTCGAACACCGCCCAGGCCGGCAGGGCGGGGTGGGCGCCAGCGCGCCAGCACCACGGGGCTTGGGGCTCCTCCTCCGTCCTCCTCCTCCTCCTCCTCCTCCTCCTCCTCCTCCTCCTCCTCCCCTCCTGCCTCCTCCTCTTCCCTCCTCCTCCTCCTGCTCTCCTCCTCCTCCTCCTCCTCCCTCCTCTCCTCCTCTCCTCCTTCCTCCCTTCTCCTCCCCCTCCTCCTCCGCCTCCTTCTCCTCCCTCCCCCTCCTCCTCCTCCTCTCCCTCCCCCTCCTCTCCCCCCTTCTTCCTTCCTCCATATCCCTCCCTCCTCTTCCATCTCCTCCATCTTTTCCTCTTCCTCCTTTTTCTCCTCCTCCTCCTGCCTCCTCCTCCTCCTCCTCCCTCCCTCCTCTTCCCTCCTCCCTCCTTTCTTGTCGAACTCTTGCCTCCTCCCTTTCTTCCCCTCCTCTAGCCTCTTGCCTCCTGCCTCCTCCTCCTCCTTCAATTTTTTCTCGTAGATGGCTTCTCCCAGACGCGCCACAACAAGACGTGTCGGGAGGGTGGCGGGGCGTTTCGCTCGAGATTTTGAAGCTAGAAGTGTGCAACATCTTCAAGCTTGGAGGGAAGGTGAAAATGTGGCTCTCGTAGTATCGCCGCGCACATATGTCCTGAATGTTTGCAGCAGTTTCGCGGACAGCTGGGGGTCGTTTTCAATAGGGAGGTCTCGCCGTAGCGCGTATCGCCGCGCCCATGCGCCTTAAATGTTTGCAGCACTTTCGAGTCTAGAGTGCGGATCATTTTCGAAATATGGCCTTCATCTTGTACCGCCCTCGCCTTGCTCCTCCCCATGGGCGGGGTCTCCCGCGGCCGGTCGCAGCTCGGGCCTTCCTGGTGGCCGTGCGGGACGCACCGGGCACGCCCCCGGAACGCCCTCGGCGCGGCGCAGGTGCTGGAGTCGAAGGTGAAACAACGCGATAACCATATAAAGTGTTGGCGCTCCGCGCGGCAATCTTGGATCCGCGCTTGACTCCCCAGGCGGCGCCTCCGGCGCCGCCCCTGGCGCGCTCCGCGAGCTAGGAAGGGGGGTCCAGCGCAGATCCAAGAAATCCGCGCGGAGTGCCAGAAGTTTATGTTTATGCCGTATTTACTTCTTCTATGGAAAGCATCCCGGAACAGCCGAGGACAGGCGGAAAAGCGCCGAAAGACCCCGAACTCACAAAAACATGCCGAACTCGTCGCTCTCCTCCCCTTTGAGTGAGGGGATCCGACTACAGAACTGACATACCCAAAACTTGCTTTGCTCGTCGGGTCTACGACAATTGCGTAGACTGTTCCGCTGATCAGCGACCATTCGACGTCTTTTTCTCAAGTTCGACGAGATTATGGGGCGTCAATCAATTCTGCAGTCGATCACCCACTAGACCCCTGTACAGTGAGGGCCCAGGCCAAGAAACACCCTGCTCGCCTCCAGGGTGCCGTGGGTTTCTTGGGTTTCGATGCTTTTGCGATGGAGAGCGTGACGTTCTCCTCACGCCAAAAATCAATGGAAGTCTTGTGGTCTGAGGGTTGGGTTTCGTATAGAAGGTTTCTTGTGGACTGGCCTCCACCGTAACGACGCCCGCGGCCGACCGCCCAGGTCCAGGTGGCGCTGGCGGACTGGCCGGAGGTCGTGCGGCTGGCCTCGCTCGCGCTCGAGGCCCGCCGTTGTGCTCCTCCCCTTTGGTTCTGCCCTTCGGCCGCCGCCGCCGCGGCCGCCGCCCTAGATCTCCGTCGATGCTATTTCCCAACCATCCTGTGGTGCTGGGTCCTCGCTTTGAAGAGACAGCGGCCCGCGTTCCTTCCTCCTTCCTTCTTCCTCCTCCGTTTCTTTCCTCTCCGTGCCTCTGTCTCCCCCACCAAGCACAGCGTTTCGTGGCTCCATGGGGAGTACCAGCGGCGGTGTCCACCTGCGACTCCCCCACGCAGCACAGCGTTTCGTGGCCCCATAGGGAGCTCCACCTAAGGCCTCAGTGGCGGTGTCCACATGCATCTCCCACCCAGCACAGCGCTTCGTGGCCCCATAGGGGGGAGCTCCACCTAAGGTCCTGCTGGCGGTGTCCACATGCGTCTCCTCTACCGAGCGCAGCGCTTCGTGGCCCAATAGGGAGCTCCACCGAAAGTCCCAGTGGCGGTGTCCACATGCACCTGCCCCACCCAGCGCAGCGTTGCGTGTGCGTGGCTCCATAGGGAGCTCCACCTAAGGCCCCGTTGGCGGTCTCCACATGCATCTCCCCCACCCAGCACAGCGTTGCGTGGCACTATAGGGAGCTCCACCTAAGGCCCCAGTGGCAAAGTTCGCATGCGTCTCCCCCACCCAGTGCAGCGGTTCGTGGCCCAGAGGGAGCTCCACCGAAAGCGATACCCACAACTGCGGTACCCACAACTGATGGTTGGGAGGGGTCCGTCGCCATGCTAATTTTTCATGTTCGTGCGTGTTTCCTCGATTTCGGCCTCTGGGGCCCGTTGTCAGGCCCTGGGGCCAACGACAGTTTACGCTGGGGAAGGGGTCGTGATTTCTGGAGCGCGGGTTGAAAAACACATCGGAGGATGTCTGAGGCGGCTGCCGCCGTCGCCGTCGCCGTCCCCGTCATCGCCGTCTGCGCTGCCGCCGCCGCGGTCGTCGTCGTCGTCGTCGTCGTCGTCGTCGCCGCCGTCGTCGTCGTCGTCGTCGTCGTCGTCGTCGTCGTCATCGCCGTCGCCGTCGTCGTCCGTCGTCGTCGTCGTCCGTCGTCGTCGTCGTCGTCGTCGTCGTCGTCGTCGTCGTCGCCGTCTTCGCCGTCGTCGTCGTCGTCGTCGTCGTCGTCGTCGTCGTCGTCGTCGTCCGTCGTCGTCTCTTTCCCTTACGTAGGCCCAGGAGCGGCCCCCGGACGGGCCGAGAGCGCTGCGGCTACCGATCGTCGTGCTCTGCTCGAGCCGTTATGGGAGGAGGAGGAGGAGGAGGAGGAGCGCGATGGGGGAGCGAGGAGGAGAAGGAGGAGGAGGGGGAAAAGGAGAGGAGGAGCCGCGATCATCCTCACGCGTCCCGCAGAGGACGACCCGGACCACGCCAAGTCCTCGCTGCGGCTGGCCCGCGCTCACATGGAGATGTGCGAGTTGGAGGACGTCGCTCGACCTTTGGCGTCTCCTGACGTCCTCGACCTTCCGCGGACGACATGTGTGCACAGCAGCGCTTCGGCGTCTCCTGAGGCGTTGTCGATACAGTGGATGCGCATGCCAAGAAACACCCTGCTCGCCTCCAGTGTGCCCTGGGTTTCCTGGGCTTCGAGGACTTTGCAGTGGAGAGCGCGACGTTCTCACACCGGACATCAATGGACGTCCTGGGGTCTGAGGGTGGGGTTTCTCGTGGAAGGCTTCCTGTGGTCGAGCTCCTACTGCACACGACCCGTGAGTGGCACGCTGCGTAGCTTTTCGGCCCGCAGGGCCGAAGACCTATGCACTGCACCGCGTCGTAGCGCGAGGTTCGAGAGGAATCCTGTGGTCGAGCTCCTACTGCACACGACCCGTGAGTGGTACGCTTCGTAGCTTTTCGGCCCGCAGGGCCGAACACCTGTGCACCGCACCGCGTCGGAGCGAGGTTCGAGGGGAGTCCAAGCACGGCGCGGTGTGCGGGCGCCGTGCTCGCCTTCCTCCTCAGGAAGCAGGAGGCAGATCCCCCCCCAGCTCGGAGGTTGACACCAACACCAATATCGGCGGTGTGCCTCCACCGAAGGGAGAAGATCCTGATCTCGGTGATGGTGGTAATATTCTGGCTTCCAAGGTGGCCGAACTATTACCACCAGCACCGAGATCTAGGATCATCTTCTCCCCTGTGGAGGCAGCCCCCTGTGTTGGTGTTGGTGCCCATCTCTGGGTCTCCAATGATCGGGTGTTTTGATAAAAGGTGGTTCTGTCAGCCCCCGAACGAGGCTCGACACTGCCCGTGCCAAGTTATGGTGGGGTGCCCGCGCACGCCCCAGTGTCTGCTGCAGCGTGTGCCTTGCGCTGTTTTTTTTACACCGTGTGGGCGCGTGGCTGGGTAAGCGCATTCATTCGGGCTCGTTGTTGATCGAGGGGGCGGACAACCAGTACGCAAAAGTTCGGAGAACAGGGTACGTAAACACAACTCTCGGAAGTCCGCGCGCATTTCTCTGATCTGCGTGTGACTCCCCTTGCGGCGCCTCCGGCGGCGATACAAGAAATCCGCACGGACCTTTGAGAGGTTTTGTTTATGCCGTTTTTATTTTCTTCTAGAAGTAATGGGGCTTTCCTCGAGGGAGAAAATGGGCACGTTGCTTCGGAAGAGCTGGCGCCCTGACCCACCCGCGCCGCAAGCCCTAGGGGGAGCTCTGGATGCTTGTGCGACAGCGTACGGCGTGCTCTCTTAGAGCTGAAGACGTGAGCCTGCTGGTGCAGCCCCTCGAGGGTGGGATGACCATCAGCTCCAACGCTCCAACGCTCCAACGCTGTTAGCCAGCAGTGCGTTCTAGCATACTAGGTGATGCAAGCGAGGTGGTGCAATCGGTTTGTGTTCGCAGTGAGTTGCCAACTTCACCGCTCGCGCGATCATCCCACCCAACCACCCGCAACTTGGTTTTCAAAACCCATGCGATGGCGATTGCGACGCATGCTTGGTGTTGGCTGGTGCATCTCTGCGGCCGAGCTAGCCCGCGCATGCTCGCGCGCGCAGCGGCCAGCTAGATTGGCGCGACCAACGCGGCCGCGGTGGCGCTGACCGCTGGGCGCATCTCAGCGGGCACTGCACTACGAGTCGGCGACTTGGGTGGGCGCGGTATCATAGCAACGTCGACACCGGTAGACACGATGATGATAGTAGCTGTGCTTGTGACGATGATGACAGTGGCGACGGCACGGCCATTGACTACGCCGATGCGAATCACTCCGGCGACGATGACGGCGTCTTCGCTTCGGTGATGAAGGTTATGGAAAGGAGTTCGACGTGCGCGCGCGGCCGACGCGCGCGAGTGGCCCGCCTGGCATTATTTGACGCGTATCGTGCCCCCCCCCAAGCACGCGCGCAACGTCGTTGGAATGATGTCGAGATGCGGCGCGAATGGCTCGTCTTGCATAATTCAATAGCAGCGTTGACAAATTATGGTTTTCTTGAGAATTCGCAGGAGCGCGAGTGCCGTGCTTTTGGGTACCAATGTTGCGAAACCATTTGTTTTGGAATGGTTTCGGGGATCTTGTTTTAGAATTCCTCACGGGACCTCAGGTTTTTTTGATTGATTTCGGCATGCGCGCGCGGCCAGCGCGCGCGCGCGCGCTCTTCGTCCTTTTTGTTCAAAGGGTTCTCGCGGCAGCACGCGCGCAAGGGCGTTCGAACGATTCCGAAATGCTTGCGCGAAGCCCGTTTGGTTGTTTTTTGTTGAAGACGTTGAAAAAATATGTTTTTCTTGAGATTCCGCAAACGCGCGCAAGTTTTTTTCGAATAAAAAATAAAAAAATGGTTGCGAACCATGTGTTTTGATTGTGTTGTCGGACATGTGTTTTTTGATTACGAAACACAAGGTTTTTGAATGTGTTCGGCTTGCGCGCGTATGTGCACATCGTCCCGTCGTGTTGTGCAGAGGACAGTTGACAATTGGTGATATTTGGTCGACGAGTGTGCGCGAATCGTATTATCCAGATGATGACGAGGGGTGTCGATACCGGCCTGTCTGGGATGGTATGAATTTAGGATGGACGATGGGGCAGAATCGCATGTAAACCGCAATGCGAGTAGGGGTGCGGATATTCCTGGGGAATCGATGTGGTGAGTGCAAGCGACATGCTGCAACCCATGTGGTGCAAGGTATGCTGTGTAAGCTATGTGGTGCATGCTCTGTGGTGCAATATGTGTTGTGTGAGCTATTTGGCTCAAGGCTTGTGGTGCAATCGATGTTTTGTTGGCAAACCTACTCATCTATGTGGTGTGAGCTATGTGGTGCCTTCATGGTGGTACGATATATCTGGTGTTAGCTGTGTGTTGTCATATCTAATGGCCTTCGGTCCATCCCGCCACCATGCCTGTGGGTCGTTCGCCTCTGGGATGTTCGTTTGGATGTTGCGCGGGGCCTCTCGGGGGCCGTTTGCAGGCCGCTTCTTGGGAGCCGTTTTGGGGCCTCTTGGGGCGTTCCGAGGACCTCTTGGGGGTCTCTTCGGGCCTCTTGGGGGCCTCTTGGCGGGCGCCTCCTTCGGGGCCTCGTGGGGGCCTCGGGGGGCGGAAGACTCGTATTTTCCGTTCGTGTTCCCTCTCTTGGGCCCTTGTCGGGGCAGTCCTTGGGCCTTCTTGGGGCTTGCGCCGTCTGGGGCCCTTTCGGTGGCCTCTTGGGCCGTCTTGGGGCGGTCTTGGGGGCTTCTTGGGCCGCCATAGAGCATTGGAAGCTCGAAAAGTCGATGGCCCCCAAGCATTGAAAACACCAGGAACAACTATGATTATGGCCTCTCGGAGCCCTCTTGGAACGGCTCTTGGAGGCCTCTTGGGACGTCTTGGTAGATTTTTCGGCCGAGTGGAGACCATCTTGTGAGTCTTGGACCGATCATGCGGCGATTCGGGGCCCTCTTGTACCGTCTTGGGGCTCTCTTAGGCCAGCTGCGCTACCCTGGGGGATCCCGGGGAAATCCCAGCAGTCCTGGGAATCCGCGGGAATCTCTGGGAATCCCCTGGAATCCTTGTGAAACCGGTGGCCCAGGCTCTTAAAACCTTGCAATTCTTTATGTCTCAGGGCTGCGTGAGCTTTGGAGCACTCCACTACGGTGGCGGATATGCGGTGCAACCCATGTGGTGCGATATAAGCGGTGTGAGCTAGGTGGTGCAGTCTAAGTGGTGCAATCTCTGCAGTGCAATCTATGTGGTACGAGCTATCATGCTGCAATCTGTGCAGTGCAATATATGTGGTTTGAGCTATGTGGTGTAAGCTATGCGGTGGTGTAAGCTATGCGGTGCAATTCGTGTGGTTTCGGCTACGTGGTGTAGGATAGGTGGTGCAATCTATGTGATGCGAGCTCCGTGGTATAAGGTGTGTGGTGCAAGCTATGTGGTGCAAACTGTGTTGTGCAATCTGTGTGGTGCAACATCTGTGCGCACCCTGTGTAACCCCATACCCACGATAATAATGTACCCCCCCCTATACATATAAGAGCTGATTATCCACGGCCAATAAGAGTTTGGTCGGGGGCGCGGGGGCGCGGAGGCCGAACTTCATTATCACGGGGAAAAGTTCGCCATCGAGATTACTTCCTTCTTATGTTGAGATAGCAACATCAAGCGAAGCGAACACGCTTTTTCAGGATGTCTCAAGCGAAACCAATGCCCCTCTGTCTCTTTGTAGTTATTTCTGTCTTTCTTTCTGTATTTCTCTGTCTCTCTCTCTCTCTGTCTCTCTATCTCTTTCTCCTCCTCCTCCCTCTGGCGCCCTGAACTTGTTTATCGCTGGGGTTGATTATCCTGGGAAAACGAGGCACGTGAGCTTCCCTACACGAGCAGATGCAATGTTTAATTTTCATTAAGCGTTTACAAATTAACTCTAATAAGTTTTACACTTTGGATTTTTGCTATCTCCTTCTCCTCTCCTCCTCTTGCTCTTTCTCCTCCTCCTCCTCTTCCTCCTCTACCTCCTCTTCTCTTTCTATATTTCTATGTATCTCTCGATCTTTCTTCTCCTGCCCCTGCCCCCCTGAACTTGTTTATCGCTGTGGTTGATTATCCTGGGAAAGCGAGGTACAGGAGGAATCTCTATAGAAACACCGGGCTTCAGTTCCGTATCAAAAAATATTAAAAGCCGACACGTTCCTTCAGCCTCCTTAAGGGTATCCAGAATTTTTCAATTTCGTTTTTGGAGTGAAATGTCGATTTACTAATGGTGAATAGTGTAGAAGTGAAGCTCAGAGGCGCGCGCGCGCACCTCCGAGCTTCAGTTCTGTATTATAGAAATATTAAAGGCCGACGCGTTCCTTCAGGATGTTTCAGAGAGGATCAAAAGCCAAGGATGTCTCAAGATATCCTCGGCTTTGGCTCCTCTGTCAACATCTTTATGCTGGCTCTGGTGGGCAACTTTTATTATCACACCGTAACCGCCGAACTTTATTCTCCCTTGGGGTTTATTCTCGGCCGTTCTCGG